GCAAGCAGGAGCCCGAGGACATGAAGCATCGAGGGTGGTTATGCAATGCCAATACTAATGCCAAAGCCTTCACCGACTCAGATAAGTTGGTACCAGCAGCCTTGGCACAAGGCGACAGTGATGCATGTCTGTGGTATCGTGGGTTGATTCCGAGACATATGACGGCTACCCCAGCGCCAGCTATGCAGGAAGACTGGACAGCTGTTGATCTTGAATGCCCACTTGGAGCTGAGTGCCTTGGCAGCGGCACGCTGGCTCAACCTTTACTCATTTTCGGTGATGCGTCAGGTGGTCCCGAGAGTCGGTTTCCATCGCTGAGGAGAGTCGGCCTTGGCTTGGTAGTGATGACCGACCCCATCACCATGACCATCGGGCCCAAGATTGCAGGGCCACTAACAGGACGAGTTCAATCTGTGCCGAGAGGTGAGCTTCGGTGTTTGGAACTTGCTATACGGTGGTCAGCAGGCCCGACAGTGTACATTTCAGATAATGAAAATGTTGTGCGTGGATGGCACGCTCAGCAGTATCTCAATCCTGGGAAGAGTGAGATGAACGGCTTGTGGGCGGAGATCGGAGCTCTGGTTAAGCACAGAGACTTCAGCGAGATCGTCGTTCTGCATGTCAACTCCCACCAGACCGCCCAGGATGTGTGCGAGAAACAGACCCCCGAGTGGATGTTGCGCGGTAATGAAGTGGCTGACGCCATTGCCTCGGGGGCCGCTGAGCGTTGTAGGTTGCCCAGTAGTGTTCGGTCTAGGATCGCGGAGGTAGAGGGACGAGCTGCTTTGATCAGGCGGAGGCTCCTCAGGGCCACCTTGGAGGCCACGGTCGCCGAGCGTGAGGAAGCGAAGATTTCTGCGCTCGCTCCTGGTGGTCGTGCCTCTTCGGCCCCTGCCCCGCCGCCGCCCTCCCCCGCGGTCGTAGCCAGGTTTAATACAGCTCACACGCTTAGTGAATGTGGGTTTAAGTGTTCCACGTGCCGTAGTAGCGGCACGAAGGCCACCCTCCACGAGTGGTTAGAATCCCCTTGCGAGCCTTTAGAGCATGTCGACTCTGTGGTGTCTAAGGGGCCTAGACGGAAGCTGCACTTAGCTGGGGGGTGGGCTCACGAATCTCATCGTATGTTGTTTCATCAGTCACTCGGGGTCTGGATCTGTGGGGCTTGCGGGTTTTTCTTCACGGCCAACCTACAAGCGGGGCTCAGGCAAGAGTGTCTTGGTTCTGATTCCCTCAATGATACGAGACGGTCTTATCTGGACCGTTTCCATCGAGGTGTTATTCCCAAGCCTCTAAGTGCAGCCGAACGGGCTGCACGGCGGAAGCATGGGGGGTAGTTTCGTTCTTTCATTGACATCGTCATGTTGCTATTCCTATTTCCTTCCTCCGCCCTTCCCTCCCTCCCCCTCCCTGCGCCCTCCGGTGAGGGCGGGGAGGGCGCGCCCCATCCTCCCCTCCCCCTTTTCCCCTTTCCCCTCCCTCCCCCCTTTCCCCCCCCCCCCCCCCCCCCCTCCCCTTTCCCCCCCCTCCCCCCCCCCCCCCCTGCACCCCCCCATCCCCACCCCCCTCGTCCCTCCCCCCCCTCCCCCTCCCTCTGTCGCCACGGGAGGAGCGCGCGCCCCTCCTCCGTGGAGCGGCCCAGCCCCGCCCGCGTGTGCGGCGCTGGTTGGACGGATGTTCTTTCGCATCCTGTGCTCCTCTCTCCTCCTCCTCCTCCTCCTCCTCCTCTCCTCCTCCTCCTCCTCCTCCTCCTCCTCCTCCTGGGTCCAGGGCCGGCTTCCCTCGGGACCCGCTCCCCCCATACGCCGCAGAAGCCCAGGCACGCCGGCCGAGGTGGAGCCGCCAATGGTCGCAGCGCTCAGTGGCTGTTCGGTGCGTTGTGGCTGGCGGTGGGTCCCGTGTTCTCGGAGGATCGAACGGAAGGATTCGACGGAACCGAGGTCAGAATACCATCGGCGGAGCAGATTTGGCATCCACTGCGACACCCGCCCGTGTGGCTGGAGTTCAGAGTATTGCGCCTACGGGAATGGCATGATGATGTACAGGGAGTCCAAGCTGCAGCTGTTCAATTGGATGGACCCAGATGCGGGCGAACTACCCTCGACAGCTATGGCACAGCCGTGGGCAGAGCAGTTCTTCGAAGACTCAGAATGCATCAGTGACTACATCGAAGCGCTGGCAGTGTTTCGTATCAACACGGCAGCGAGGGAGCAGTTCATCGCGGTCGACATGTCCAGCTGAGGGCCGAGTGGTTGCTTGAGGTGCCGGCACCGCTGGAGGTCGAGGCGGAGGCGGACGAGGTCGCCGAAGGCGACCACGCGTGCTGCCTGGACAGCGGGAGCGGCTCGGCCTGCGGCCGCTGCTACAAAAGTAAACGCGCGTTTCGCGCACATCAACTGCACGCCTCGGGGGCCAGCACGGGAACAGGGGTGCTCCTGTCCAAATTTCTTTTCTTACAAGCCTCGAACTTATCCCTATCCCTAAGATTGGCACGCCAAAAGGCGATGACAATCTTAGGGATTCGCCCTCAAAAAATATGGGAATCCCTAAGATTGGCATCGTGATGAGGAGGTGCCCAGCATAGGGATAGGGATATGCTCCAGTCGGGTAATGTTCATAATCCAGCGCATAACTTGTAGGTCCTCGTTTCAAGATAGAGGCACTGGCTGTCCCTAGACGTGTATCACTACGGTTCGTTCAGGGTGGACTTGTCGCCCCCAGACTGCGGCGTTGTCCCCATCCCCACCGCCCAATGCCCACGCTGTCCGCTGACCCTTTTCTCAGAGGAGTGCTACGAAGATGATCTAGCCAGCCATCTTCCACAGCCGCTCCCTGAGTTTCACACCAAGGCGAAGAATTGGGTGCGCGCGTGGATGACCAAATGCAGAACCTGCGCGTGGATGGGTAAACCAGACGACGAGGTAAAGAAGAACGACATGATCAGCTGCGCATCCCTGGTCGGGATCATCGAGGGTCTGGAGACGGAGGGCGACGGAGCAGGGCGTGCGAACAAAGTCAACCTGAGCAAGCTGAAGGCGGAGATCATCCAGGACCTCACTTTGAACGAGTGCGAGACCAGGTTCCCGTTCGTCAAAATGGCATCGACTTACAAAGATACGCATGCCAAGGTGGTAATGGGAAGGTTTGCGGATTCGGAGCTGACCGCGAAGTGTTTGGAGCAGCTTGGGGACGAGATCAAGATCGGTTCTGTATCCATGTCCCTGCGGGGGAGGCTGCTCCACGCGAAGCTCGCGGCCTTCGAGGAGGTCTAGACCGCATGCCTTGGCTTGGTGCGGCCTTCGATGTCGGGTGCTGCCAATTGCTCTGGCCCCGAGGGGTGCGCGAGGTCCAGGACGATCGTGCCAGCGGGGCCCAGCCGTCTTGCTAGGGTGACGACGTCGCCAGATGCGGTGTCGTCAGCCTCGGTGCGGCCTGCCATGTCGGGAGCTGCTGGGGGCTCCTGTCCCAGGCAGCGTTCCAAGCCCAGGACAATCGTGCCGACGGGGCCCAGCAGTTTTGCTCGGACTGCCTCGACCGTGCACATGACTGAGGGGGCTGGAGGTTCGGGCACACAGCGGCGACGGGAGACTGCTGCACCACGCGTACTGGACGCTGCCGCTCTTCCGGAGGTTCTGTCGGGAGAGACCCCCTGCGATTCCCACGTGGGGGGGGGAGTGTGGGCCATGAGCGCACCCACAGCGCCCCAGGCGTAGGACCAGACCCCGTGCTGACCCCCGTAAGTGCTGCCCCCGACTCGTCCCCGCTCCATGCCGATGCCTTTGCGGCGGGTCCTCCCGCCGCCCCGGCCCCCGTCTCCTCGTGGCAGGACAGCGCGTGCCGAGACACCCAGACCCGCTTCCGCCTCCGCAGCCTCCTCCCCACAAGCGTCTCTCAGAGGGGCCTCGAGCACGGAGCTTCCAGGGGCAGCCCAGAGCACTGGGCTACTTCAGAGCCGGCCGATGCTCGAGCGCTGGCGTCATTTGTGCGGTTTTCAACAGCAGTCGACAGGGACCTCGAAGCCCTAAGCTTTTTTGGTCGGGCTCGTCCCGAAGTCTTCGGATACTGGGCAGCAAACTCAGACAAGCACTATCGGGTTCGTTCGTTCGTTCGGTCGTTCGTTTCCCCTCCCCCGTGACCTTCCTCTCTCCCCTCCCTCCTCCCCTCTCCATTGTACCTTCTCTCACCCCTGTTCGTTGTCTGGACCTCCCTCCTGCATTCCATTTCCTCTCTCCCTGCCTCCCTCGGTCCTTCTCGTTCTCTCTCTCTCTCTCTCTCTCCCTCTGTTCTTCTTCGTCTCTCTCGCTCTCTCTCCCTTGTACTGCCCCCCTCATCATCGTCACCCTCCCTCCTGCCCTCCTCCCCCTATGGGAGAAGTAATGGAGAAGAGGAGCAGAGAGGACGACGACGAGAGACGAGGATGATGGTGCAGGCCAGGGGCCCGTCGGGACGCGACCCAGGGACGAACAAAAGATCCCTGGGAACGGGGTGGAGGGGTCTCGGGGCCGACAACCGTTATTCGGCAAGACTCGAGTTCGATAGTCGTGAGCAGGAACGGGAGCGGGAGGATACTCATGGACACTTCAGGATGGAGGGGGGAGGCGCAGGAGTTCGGAGGGAGAGGAAGGGCGCAGTGGAGTTTGACACACCCACACACACATCGTGTTGAGTTTCCATGATCCCAGGGATCCTGGTCGTATTGACGAGGTTCCCCTCGAGATCCCGTCGGAACCCTCTGACGGCGGAGTGGTCCGGGCGGCGGGGGGTGTCTTGATGGAGTAGGAGAAGGGAGGGATACAGGAATGGAGGTGTGGAGGAGGAGGGTTCGGATAGAGAGACACGGAACGAGGGAGAAGAAGGGAGGAGGGGCAGGGGGGAGGTAGGGCGAGGAGGCAGGTAGGGGGAGAACATGCCCCGCCCCAGCACCCCTCAGTTCGCCTCGCCCCGCCCCGTCCGCCCCCGCATATACCCGCGCCCCGTGGACCGCGCGCGCGCGCGCGCCCCAGGCGGCGCCAAGGGCAAGAAGGATAAGGACAAGAGGGCCAAGGAAGCGCAGCCGGCCATGTCGCAGACCGAGGACCGCCGAACCCCGTGTCTTCATGTTTCCATCGGCTGCCAGCCCAGGCCTCCTCTGGCTCCGACAGAACCACGGCGGAGTGCAGATTGCCTTTCTCAGCGTCCAGGGGCCCACTCCGGGCCGTGGGACCCACCAGAAACGATTGATGAGAAGCAGGTTCCGGGAGGGGTCCTGCACTGTTGGGGGCCAGGCTGTGAGCAAAGCGCAGCGTCGGGGCCTTGGGATACCCGATGAAACGCGACCGAGTCGGCAACAAGCTCGTGGCCACGCGCGCTGGTCAAGGCACCACTGCTTCCGTGCCGTGTCGTGCTCGGCAGCAGGGGCCGAGGCAGAGGCAGCTGGAGCACGCCAAGGGGTGCACGACGTTGCGCGAGCTGCTCAGCTGGTGCTTCCCGTCCAGCAGCGGTCCCCGCCTCCGATGCGTGACTGGCCCGCTCGCCACCACCCCATAGCTCCATCTCCCGCGTTCCCTCCGCCTGCTCAGCCAGCCTCTCCACCTCATCCATCCTCGTCTCCAGTCCTTCCTTCTCATCACCCTTCTGCAACCCTCCCTCCCACGCCTCCTCTTCACTGCGTTTTCACCTCCTCCTCCTCCTCCTCCTCCTCCTCCTCCTCCTCCTCCTCCTCTACTTCCTCCTCGTCTCTCCCCTGCTCCTCCTCTATGCTGCTCCTCCTTCCTGTATCCCCTTCCTGCGCCTCCCGCAGGACATCCTGAACTCCATCCTGCCGCCCCGCGAGTGGACGCAGGAGGACCTTTGCCCTCGGGAGACTCCCTCGCACGGCGCTGCCAAGTTGGCCCAGGGAAGGGTGAGGGGGGGAGGGGAGGGAAGGGGGGGGGGAAGGGGGAGGGAAGGGGGATCCCGAAGGAGGAGGGGAGCGGGAGGAATGGGGGAGAGAAGTGGGCCCGAGGAGGGGAGAGAGGAGGGGGGAGGGAAGGAAGAGGGAGGGGGGAGGGGAGGCAAGGGAGAGGGGTGGGACAGGGGGGATCATTGAGTTTCTGGAGTGGTGGCTGTGTCGTTGGTGGTCGCGCCAGTGCGCAGCAAGAGCTTGAGATATCACAATATGTATCCCAGATTCCTAATCACCACTCTGTAATCCCGGATCGCGCTTAAAGGCCGGGGGTCTTGTGTGGACCGTGTGCGACGTGAGTCAATGACCATGCAGACTACGAGATGGTGATTGGGCCTGTTTGGGTAGTTTGTGTCTGCACAGACAGGCACCAGTGCTGCAACCACTATCGTACTGATCACCAAGCATGTTGATTCAAGGGAAGAGGGAGCCGGGAGGGACTAGTACGAGGATAGCTTCGTTCCAGAGCGTTCCAGAACGCTCTCAGAGCGCTCTGGACCTCTCTGAGAAGGCCGCGGCGCCCGAGACATCCTCCAGAACCGCCAGATCTCAGAGATTCTCGATTTACAGTGGGGGCCCATGCCAAGAAACACCCTGCTCGCCTTCAGGGTGCCCTGGGTTTCTTGGGTTTCGATGGCTCTGCTGTGGAAAGCGTGACGTCCCCACGCCAAAAACCCGTGGACGCCCTGGGGTCTCGGGGCTGGGTTTCCTGTGGAGGGTCTCTTGTGTTCGGGCCCCGGCTGCATCCTCGCCCGATGTTATGGCCTCGTCCTGACTGCGCCTTCAGGGGTGGCGGGATCCCGGTCTGAGCCCTGGTGCTGATCGACCACTCGGGTCGACTAGACGTAATGAGTGACCTTTCGCCGGAGTGACCTCTGGTGTGGGCACAGATGGGTCCCCAGATGGCTGAAAGCGGAGCAGTCGCAGCTGCTTGTGCGCCCAGGCTTGGGCCCCCTGCGGCCCCCAAAAAGTCGCGCACCAAAGGTCACTCTTACCCAGGGTCACTCTTGCGTGTACACCTTAGGCGATGCTGAAGAAAACCTAAGTTTTCGGCCAGAGTCTCGATTATTCTTAACGTTTCAATGTAATACCTAAGATTTTGATAAAAAAATGTTGGGCTGTTATGCAAGTTCTGAGACTATGAATTTCTTAACCCATGATTTCTTAAGCATTTCGCAGGGTGTAGCCGATCGGGCGCCGCCCCCGCGCTCTCGCCGCCCCGCCGCTCTCTTCCCCCCTCCGTGCCCTGCGCCGCGCGCTCCTCCCGATGGGGCCCCGCCTGCATGCGCCTGGCATCGCCGGGCCCCTGGGGAAGCAGCGGCGCCTGGCTGCTCGTGCCGTCCCGAGTCGGACCCCCTACCGAGAGGTCGTTTCTGTCGGACGAATTAGTTTTTGATGATTTTTGATCACTTTGATATTACTGGATATTCTTCCATTCTGATATTCCTTGATACTTTTTGGGACTCGTTTTTTGGGTCATTTCTGATATTCTTCCAGAATCCGCCTGTAGGGGGGCATGCCCGACCTGGCCCTAATCTCTAAGCCCGAGAGAGAGAGAGAGAGAGAGAGAGAGAGAACGAGAGAGAGAAAGAGAGTGAGAGAGAGAGAGAACGAGAGAGAGAGAGAGAGGAGGGAGCGCCACGGCCCCGCGGCGGCCTCGGCTGTCGCGCCCCCCTCTCCTTCTTCGTCGCCCGCTCCCCTCAACGCATCTCCCTGCCCCCGCCTCTTCCGCGCACATGCCTCCGGCCATGCTGCGCACCCCCCCTCGTCCCTTCGGGGGTCCCAAAGCCGTGCGGTGGCGGACCGCATGGTGATCTCGACATCCCCAGAGACCTCACCGCGCGGTCCGTCACCGCACGGTCTGGGGACCGCGGAGGCCCCGGTCGCCCGAGACGTTTTCGGAGAGCGACCCGAGTTTCAAATCCGTGCGGTGACACTCCCCACCGGGCCATCCAGAAACGATGCCCAGGCGAGTTGCCTAGATCAGGACAGTGTGGAAGTATATGCAGTGGAGCAAGTTCGGGATTATACGCAAGACGATGACGAGAACGAGGAGGAGGGCGAGGAGGAGGAGACCGGGACGAAAACACGGACGAGGAGGAGGAGGAGGAGAAGGAGGAGGGCGAGGAGGAGGAGGAGGACTAGGAGGAGGACGAGGAGGAAAAGGAGGACGAGCTATTTTGGAGGATCTTGGGTCCGCTTGAGACTTGTTGGATTGGTCTTGGGGCTCTCTTGGAGCCCTCTTGGACACCCCTTGGGAGCCCTGGATGGCCTCCTAGGGTCATCTTGGAGGGCGTCGATTCAAAGATGGGGGGGTCTTCGGTTTGCCTCCCCCCTCTGGGGCCATGCAAATCGCCTCTTAGGGCCCTCGTTGTGCGCCCATGGGGCGGTCTTGATTGGTCTTAAGGCCTCAAATCCGCAGCAGAAGCGAAGAGGCGAGAAGGCACAACTCGTTGATTGTCCTTCGGTGTTTGACAGTTTTTGTGTTCTTGGCAAGTCCAGAGCAGGCTCCGAGAGCACTTCGAGCCGTGGTCTCCTTGGGTTCCAAGAGGCATGCCGGAAGCCACGTAGAGCAATCTGCGGCGATCTTGGGCCATCTTGGGGTCCGTCTGGGAGCATCTTGGAGCATCGTTTACCCTCTTGGAGCCATCTCGGGCCAAGAAGGATCCCCGCACACGTCGCGGGGTGGACCAGAAAGCCGTAGGGAGGGGATGGGGGAGGGTACCCCTTCCCGCAGGAAAGAGGCTCGTGGAAGAGGAGAGAAGAATGCCGTTAGACCACACGCGCTCCGCTGGCTGTGGCCCACCGCGCTGCGGCGCGACACGCTTTCCACGTCCCAGCACCCCGAACGTCCGTGTCCCGAGCTCTCCCCAGCCTCTGGCCCCGCTGAACGGAGCGACGCGCCAGCCGCCTGCAGGGCACAACGCGTCGCCGGGGCCGCCGCGGCGACACGCTGTGCACAAGCTCCTGACTGTAAGTCCAGAGGGCTGGTGGGATGTCTCGTGCTTCCACTTGCCGCACTGCCGGTTGCTGTTGCTGTGTCCACACGGCGCCCTGTCTCCACGGCAGGCGACTGGGTTGGGATGTTGGCCCACTCGGCAGAGGAGCGGGCTGAGGTCTGCAAGTGGGCTCTGGCGGTCATGTTCGGACTCGATGCCCTGCATGCGGTCGGGAACTTTAGGGTTGCGTGTCGCTCCGCCGGTTCTGGCCCACCGCGGTTCGGCGCGACGCGCTGTCCCGAGGCGTCAACGTCCCGAATCCGCGCTTCCCCGACCCTCCCTCCCCGCGGAGCGGTGCGACACGCTATCGAAAAGCTCGTGGCCGTTTTACCTTCTAGGTTCTAGGGCTGCGTGCACCCACGAACGTAACGACTCGGGTTTGGCCTCCGCCAGGACCAGCTGTGGGTGCAGTACGTGTCGAGCACCCCGGCCACCCGGGCGGACGTGATCAACCTGCAGGAGGACCTGGACAAGTGGCTGCAGCAGCGGCAGGTCCCCCGCGACCCCGTGCCGGCCCCGGCAGAAGATCCGAACCTCACCAGCCTGGAGCACGTCCCCGTCCCTCTGTTCGGCCTCGCCCCAACTCGGTGCGCGCTCTGACAGGTTCCCCTGGGTCTCCGAGGGCACGCCGCTGATTAAGACTGCTATCGCTGCTCGGCCTGCCGATCTTGGGGGCAGGGAGCAGCTCGAGGCTGGCTAGAACCGAGGAGGGGCCTCCCCGCCACACCCGGGGATGGCTGCGCTGCCTTGGCGTCGGGCCTCCGGGCGCCGTGCGGGCGCCTCCCCGCCTCGGCCCGGGAGGCGCTCCGCGCCGCGGGAGGCCGCTCCGGCCTCTCGGGGGCGGAGCCGTGCCTCTGCTGCGGACCTGTACTGCAGCGCCCCGCCCGCCTCGGGGGGGGAGGGGGGGGAGGGGCAGGGGCTCGGGCCCCCGACGTCGTGATTGTTTCGTGGCGTCGCGCCTCCGGGGGGGGGGGAGAGGGGGGAGGGGGCAGGGGCCCGGGCCCCCGACGTCGTGGTTGTTTCGTGGCGTCGCCCCCCCCCCCCCCCCCCAGGGGTGTCGACCTTCTCTCCCCCCCGGGACCGGCTCTGCACCTCCCGAGAGGCGATCTCTGCGGCGGCCCCGAGGCTCGAGGCGAAGGGCCCGTTGCAGGGGGGCCGAGCGCGGCGGCGAGTCTCCCGCCGTGGCTTGCTCATTGCTCGAGGGGGTCTGGGAGGAGGGGGAGGAGGAGGGAGAGGGGGAGGAGGAGGGGGAGGAGGAGGAGGGGGAGGAGGAGGAGGAGGAGGAGGAGGAGGAGGAGGAGGAGGAGGAGGAGGAGGAGGAGGAGGAGGAGGAGGAGGAGGAGGAGGAGGAGGAGGAGGAGCGGGGGTGCAGGGCGGGGCGGCTCTCCACGAGGGGGCAGCGCAGCCGACGCCGCCGCCGTCCGTGCGCGCGCGCGCCATAACTTGGCATCGCTCGGACGTGTGCATTTTTCCCTCGGCGAGGACCGTCGAAGAGCATCCTTGATCATTTGGGGAAAAAAAACGCGCACGAGACCGAAAAGAGCACAGGGAATGGACGTCCGAGCGATGGCCAGGGGCGGCTTTCCACGAGGGGGCAGCGCAGCCGACGCCGCCGCCATCCGTGCGCGCGCGCCATAACAGCGTCTTCCGCCGCGCATCCGCGGTGGCCTCTCTGCGCGTCCGCCTTGCGCGGGGGCCCGGGGGCGCGGCACCCCGGCGCTCCCTCGCGCGGCAAGGGGCGGAGGGCAGGGCAGGGAGGAGGGGCCACCGGGAGGCCAGGGGGCGGAGGAGAGGGGAGGCGGATTCGGGACGACCGAAACCCAGACGCCTCGAGCAATGAAAGAATCGAGACGGGAGGTTCCTCTGCCATTTGCGGGTTCTGGGGGCCCTCACAGGGGCTCGGGGCCGTCAAACAACGAGTCGGGAGGAAAACCTGTCCCAGTGGAATAGGTCGAGACCTCGGGAGGTCGACGTAATGAACAAATCATGACGTCGGGGGTCTTGGGAAATGGGTACGGAAAGAATGGGTAATTACGATGCCCAAGCCCAACATCTGTTCCTGTTCCTTTTGAACGGTAGACGCCGTCCGCGCCGCCGCGGACGTCGTCGGTTTTGAAGAAGGCAGAAAGCCCGCCTGCCCAGCAGCGGCCGCTGTCGGTGTTGGGGCAGCATTTGTGGTTGGGCATTGTGCCCTTCTTGTCCGTACCCCATTTCGGGCGCCCAAATGGATGGGGGGCCCATGCCGCGTCCCCATCTCGCCTTTCCCACTCCTCCCCTCCCCTTCGCTCTCTCCTCCTCCCTCGACCTCCCCCCCCCATCTCTCCTTGCCCCTCCTGCCCTCCCCATTCGCTCTCTCCTCCTCCCTCGACCTCCCTCCCTCCCCCCCATCTCTCCCTCCCCCTCCTGCCCTCCCCTTCGCTCTCTCCTCCCGACCTCCCTCCCCCCCCATCTCTCCCTCCCCCTACTCCCATCCCCTTCGCTCTCCTCCCTCGACCTCCCTCCCCCCCCAATCCCTCCTTCCCCCCCCCCCTCCCCTCCCCTGCGCTCTCTCCTCCTCCCTCGACCTCCCCCCCCCCAAATCTCTCCTTCCCCCCCCCTCCCTCCCCTTCGCTCTCTCCTCCTCCCTCGACCTCCCTCCCTCCCCCCCTTTCTTCCCCCCAAACCCCTCGGTCCCCGCACACGGCGGGGCAGGTGGAGGACCAGCGGAGCGCTAGGGGGACACGGCGAGGGGGAGGGAGCCACAGGCCGGGGAGGGAGCCCCCCGCGCCGCGCTGCGCGCGCGCGCCTGGCCCTGCGGGCCCGGATCAGGAATATACGCCACCACCACCACCACCACCCCCCCCCCCCCCCCCACACCACCACCACCACCACCACCCCACCACACCACCACCACGTCGATTCCTCCTCCTCCTCCTCCTCCTCCTCCTCCTCCTCCTCCTCCTCCTCCTCCTCCTCCTCCTCCTCCTCCCTCCTTCGATTCCACCACCACGTCGATTCCTCCTCCCTCCTCCGCCCTCGTCTTCCTCCCCCCTCTTTCCTTTGGAGCCGGAGGGGACGAGGGAGGTGGCGGTGGTCGTGTGTGTGCCTGTGGGCCCCGCAGGCTCCCCCCCCCGGGAGGCCCGCGAGACGGGCATCTGCCCCATCCGGGAGGAGCTCTACGCGCAGTGCTTCGACGAGCTCATCCGGCAGGCCCTCCCCGCGGTCGGCGTGTCGCGGCCCCCGCCAGAGCGGAGGGTCGGGTCTCGCGCCCGAGCCCCCCGGCCGATTGGTGCGCACGATGCTCGCAACATTTGAGTTGAAGAAGTGCCCCACCCTTCAATTGCAGCGTATTATCTTGCACAGCTGTGCTCAGGAGCTCGGACATCCTCATTCCCCATATCCCAAGATAGGGGTTCTTGTTATTTCTTGGACGCCGCCGACTCTAGAGAACAAGACCACACCCAGAACACAGACTTACTCATGCACAGACTTACTCATACTCAGACTTACTCATACCCAGACGTATTCCTACACAGACTTACTCATACCAAGACTTTCTCATACATAGACTGACTCATACACAGACTGACTCATACTCAGACTTACTCATACTCAGACCTACTCCTACTCAGACTGACTCATATTCAGACGCACACATACACAGACTTTTTCGTACACAGACTTACTCATACTCAAACTGACTCATACCCAGACGTACTCATACACAGACTTACTCATACTCAGACCTACACATACTCAGACCTTCTCATAGTCGGAGTTTCTCAACACACGGCAGATTTTGAGGATGTCTCAGGCGGGGCGCTGGTTTCAGCACCCCTAAGGGGAGCCGCCAGGGGGTATATGACGGGCCCGTCCGCGGCCAGTTTGTGGGGATGTCTCAGGCGATTTGCCTGTTTCGGAGCCCAACATCGTTTGTGATTCCAGCAGATTTGGAGGATGTCTCCGTCGGGGCGCTGGTTTCAGCACTCCTGAGGGGAGCCGCCAGGCGGGCCCGTTCGAGGCCAGTTCGTGGGGATGTCTCAGGCGATTTGCCTGTTTCGGTGCCCAACACCGTCTGCGATTACAGCAGATTTGGAGGATGTCTCCGTCGGGGCGCTGGTTTCAGCACTCCTAGGGGGAGCCGCCAGGGGGTATATCACGGGCCCGTTCGCGGCCAGTTTGCGGGGATGTCTCAGGCGGTTTGCCTGTTTCGGTGCCCAACATCGTCTGCGTCTACAGCAGATTTGGAGGATGTCTCCGTCGGGGCGCTGGTTTCAGCACTCCTAAGGGGAGCCGCCATGAGGTATATCACGGGCCCGTTCGCGGCCAGTTTGTGGGGATGCCTCAGGCGGTGTGCGTGTTTCGGTGCCCAACATCGTTTGCGACTACAGCAGATTCGGAGGATGTCTCAGGCGCGGCGCTGGTTTCAGCACTCCCAAGAGGGGACCAGCAAGTTACTGTTCCCTTGGGTCGTGCTCCGGCACGTACCCTCTGGGACGCACGGAGGATGGAGTCGAGGCAGGCGTCGACTCCCTTGGGTCGTGCTCCGGCACGTACCCTCTGGGACGCACGGAGGATGGAGTCGAGGCAGGAGTCGAGACAGGAAAAGGCTCATATTCAACCATACTCAAAGCTCATTCTGACTCGTACTCACTCGCTGGCATGACGGTTCACTTGTCTTCGTCGGGCCTGTCGACCACATGGGCGCGCTCTTATAGTCAGACACTCATGAACAAACGCTCACTACGGCATAACATAAAACATGAGATGCACATATGGGGAGCTTCACGCAGTGAGTAATTTTCGTCGCGTTTCGTGGTTCGTGGTGGTTCGTCCCCCTCGGCCCCTCCCCTGAGCCTGAGCCCCAGCTCCCCTGGGCCACCCACCCTTCGGAACCTTGCTCCGTCCAGGCTTCCCAGGACAGCCGCCCTGGGCCGCGGACGTCCTTATTTTCGTCGTGGTTCGTGGTTCGTCGTGGTTCGTCTCCCTCGGCCCCTCCCCTGAGCCTGAGCCCCAGCTCCCCTGGGCCACCCCCCCTTGGGCCCCCCCCTCCGCCCAGGCTTCCCAGGGCAACCCCCTCTTGGCCGCGGAACCTTTTACTTTCGTCGTGGTTCGTGGCTCGTGGTGGTTCGTCCCCCTCGGCCCCTCCCCTGAGCCTGAGCCCCAGCTCCCCTGCCCTGGGCCACCCACCCTTCGGAGGCTTGCTCCGTCCAGGCTTCCCAGGACAGCCGCCCTGGACCGCGGACATCCTAATTTTCGTCGTGGTTCGTGGTTCGTCGTGGTTCGTCCCCCTCGGCCCCTCCCCTGAGCCTGAGCCCCAGCTCCCCTGGGCCCCCCCCCCGCTTAGGCTTCCCAGGGCAACCCCTGTGGGCCGCGGAACCCTTTACTTTCGTCGTGGTTCGTGGTTCGTCGTGGTCGTCCCCCTCGGCCCCTCCCCTGAGCCTGAGCCCCAGCTCCCGTGGGCCAACCCTCCTTTGGGACCCCCCCCCCCGTCCAGGCTTCCCAGGGCAGCCCCCCCTGGGCCGCGGAACCCTTTATTCTCGTCGTGGGGCCGCCCCCCTTTGGGACCCCCCCTCCGTCCAGGCTTCCCAGGGCAACCCCCTCTTGGCCGCGGAACCCTTTACTTTCGTCGTGGTTCGTGGCTCGTGGTGGTTCGTCCCCCTCGGCCCCTCCCCTGAGCCTGAGCCCCAGCTCCCCTGGGCCACCCACCCTTCGGAGGCTTGCTCCGTCCAGGCTTCCCAGGACAGCCCCCCTGGCCGCGGACATCCTTATTTTCGTCGTGGTTCATGGTTCGTCGTGGTTCGTCCCCCTCGCCCCCTCCCCTGAGCCTGAGCCCCAGCTCCCCTGGGCCACCTCCCCTTGGGACCCCCCGCCGCCCAGGCTTCCCAGGGCAACCCCCGTGGGCCGCGGAACCCTTTACTTTCGTCGTGGTTCGTGGCTCATGGTGGTTCGCCCCCCTCGGCCCCCCCCTGAGCCTGAGCCCCAGCTCCCATGAGCCACCCACCCTTGGGAGCCTTCCTCCGTCTAGCTTTCCTCCGCCCAGGCTTCCCAGTCCTTCGCATTTCCTTTGTGCAAGAGCCAGGGCACGCGTGCCACTTGTTTCCCCGGGCACCCATCACAGATAAGGGATTTGCTATTTTGGAGCCCCCTGCTGAAACTGCAAGTGGTGTGGGTGAACATCAACGACAATGATGCATTGGGCGCCGTGTTCTGCAACTTTGCGCGGTGTATGTGCGTTCGCCCACTCTGCTATCAAGCCCCGTGGCGATGACGATGGCAATGGTCACATCCGCATACTGTTGAGCAGAAGAAGCAGCACGCGACGGCACCCTATTAAGCTGGGCCCCCCGAAGCTTCGACTTGAAGAAACCGCCCTATTGAACCGGGCCCCGCTGCTTCCACAAAAAGTGCTTTAAAATATTAGACTCGGGGGACGCTTACTAGGAGACTACGACTGCTGGCAGGCCAAGTCGCGAGGGCGAGCGACGGCGACAATCCCAGACCCCGTCGACCAACGCACAGAAATATGACAGGAGGCGTTTCGCCGTTTTCGGGGGGCCGTTCAAAATCGACTCGAGATGAACACCTGGTCCCAGGGAATAGGTCGAGGCGCTGGTATTATCAAGCAAGCATGACGCCGGGGTCTGGAATGGCAGCGGGAACAGAAGATGCGACATGAACTTTTAGGTGGTCGATTCGGCCGTCCTGGACGCCCACGTCGACCACAGTCAGTAATTGCTGCGCTGGTTTCGGTGTTCTGACAAGCGTTGGCGTACGCAAAACATCCCCCAGGGTGCATCCTCGAGGTCTTGACTCCCTTTTCGCTCGGGGATCCACAGGAGACAGATTTTCAAATCCCCTGGCTATAACGGGCGTGACTGGGGCAGGGGGGGAAGGGAGAGGGGTGTGTGTGTGTGTGACCAGCAGGGGGATCCTGGACATTCGGCTGCTATCATTTTTCCGATGCATGGGCCCGGGAGGTCTGGACCACCCGTTTGTCGTCCCGGGTCGTTGTTTGACGGCCGCTGGGCCCAGCGAGGGCCCCCAGAGGCCGAAAACGGCCCAAAACCGCCCGCTCCAATTTTTTTGGAGTGCCGGATCTCTGAGGTGGAGGAGGGGGGGGCGGGCCGGTCACGGGCGCTATCGCGAATGAGAAATTGGCGCCAGGGGACTCGGGGTGAGCGAGCTTGTCTAAGGCGGCTGTGGCCTCCGAGGCACCTGAGCCGTGCCGTGACGGGTCCGTGGGGTAAGAGGTCCCTTGGGTTTCGAGGCATCCGCACGGTCTGCCACGTGGATCTCCCTGCTTCTGCGCTGGCATCGAGGGAGGGTTCGAGCGAGATCTCAGAGGAGGAAAATTCTACCCATACTGCTAATTACCGTTCCCTCGTTTCCCCACGTTTGGCCTCCTCGGAGGCCCTCGTTGCCACCGCTGTATTCGCCTCGAAATTCTGGTCAGAACGCACCCGAGAGAGGTCCGGGGAGTTCTTAGCAGTATCGGAATTTCTTGGTTTCCCCAAGATCGGAAGCCGTTGCCAGCGCATCCGAGCGCTCGCCCGAGCGCGCGATCCGACGAGCGCAGCCAGAGCTCTTCGCACGAGACCCAGCTCTGGGTCCTGACTTGTTAGGGACATCGAGACCTGGGGGAGCAGGAACAGTAGTTAATTAGGAGGGGCGCGTTCATGAAGGACTGTGCCCAGGAGGCTTCAGACCCTGGAGGGTTCCATACCGGACGAGGGCGGCGGTGCTATCGACAACGACGGCAAGGTGACGACGACGACGACGACGACGACGACGACGACGACGACGGCGACGGCGACGACGGCGGCGTTCGCGAGGACGGCAAGGGTGCCAACGGCGTTGGCGAGGACGGCGTCGATGGCGGCGGCGAGGAGGACGCCGACGGCGACGGCGAGGCGACGACGGCCGCGACGGCGGCCACGGCCGACGGCACCTCTCGCTCGCAGGTCACCATCATCTGCGCCGAGCGCGGCCTGCTGCTGCTCCGCGTCCGCGACGAGATCCGGAGCGGCGGCGCGCGCGTTAGCGGGCGCGGGGCCCAGGGCGGCAGGAGAAGCCATTCTCGGGCCTCGGCGAGAGGCACCGCGCCCCGAGGGCAGCACCCCCCTCGACGGCCCCGCTGGCGAGCTGGATCCCGAGGGGAGGCGGCGCTTCGTGAGTGACCGAGGCAGACACCGCAACGGACACGGCTGTGCATCGGCAAGCTCCAGATACCACGGGATACCTCCGGGAGGCGGCACACTCCCGGCCTCACGGGGCTTCGAGAAGCGCCACCGCGCGTGCGGCGCCGGCCCTCGAGGCAGCAATGTGATCTGCGGGGGCTGTGCCCCTGATTCGGCGGCGCCGCCAGGAGCGGGGGGGAGGGGGAGTGGGCCGAGGAGGAGGTGGACGAGGCGGAGGGGGCGAAGAGACGGACCATCGCATCTGATTGAAAATGGTGGCATTTTTTCATGTGTACACATATACGGGGGATTCCGACCCCTGGGGACCCGCAGGGCCCCCCCCTTGTACATAGGTAGTGCCCCCCTCCCAGGAGCCCTCCGGGACCCGCCCCCGAGGCTCGGAGCAGCCCTAAATCCGCCCAAGATTGTTTACAGATGGCCCACGAGCTCTCCAAGACGCACCAAGAGGACCCCAAGAGCGCTCCAAGACGGCCCAGGAGGCCCCCAAGGGTGCCCGAGAGGCTTCCGAAACGGTCCTCGAGAAATTCGAATCTTTCACAAACCAGCGGGAAATCTATATTTTTGGCCTCAGAGGCCCTCAAGACGGCCCAAGAGGCCTCCCAGAAGGTCACCAAAAGACAGAAACAGCCAAATTCCTGTCGGAAAACGTACGTTTTTCGATTATTCGCTTCTTCGGTCCTAACAGCGCCCAAGGCGGACCCAAAGGTCCCAAGACGGCCGTAAGACGACCCAAGAGGCCCCCAAGAGGGCCCCAAGACGGCCCAAGAGAGCTCCAACACGGCCCATGAGAGCCCCCCGACGGCACACGACGGTCCCCAGAGGTTCCCAAAAGAGTCCCCAGGGAGCCCCAAGAGGGCCATAGAAGGCACCCTCGACGGCCCAAGAGGGCCCCAAGACGGCCCAAGCGCCCAAGACGGTCCAAGAGGGCCCCGGGACGGGCCAAGAGGGCCCCAAAGAGCCCCAAAGAGCCCCAAAAGGACCCCGAAGAAGGTCCCAAGAGGCCCCCAGAGACTCCCAAAACGCTCCGAAAACGATCCCAGGAGGCTTCCCAGTAGTCACCCGTAAGCGTATGGGAGGTCTCGCTTCGACGTCCTGCACGAGGCTCCCAGAAAAGTCTTCAAGAGGCTCCCAATTCACGATCCATCTCAGGGCTTCAGAGGCCTCACAGCAACATGCCGCGTGGCCCACAGAAGCACCCAAGACGCCCCGAACTCACGATCCAGGTCAGGGGTGTATTTACTGCCATGGGCGGGGCGGCGGGATGCGAACGTTGGCTCTGGAACCGTCGGTGGAGCTCCCTGTTGATACGATTCGTGTGAGGAGACAATCGACATACGCGTGGGGGGGGACGTGACGTTATGCGAATCCCCACACTAAGGCCGTACATGAAACGACATCCCTCTGGGGCACGATTCGTGTGTTGGGTGTGCCGAGATGGGCGGAGCGACGCCGTGCGAACTTTGTCCCTGGACCCGAAAGAGGAGCTCGCAGGGGGACAAGATCCGTGTGAGTGCCGTGCCGAAATTGACGGGGGGGCGCCATGTGAACCCCGCCTTCATCTGGGGCCGTACGTCTCGATTCCATCCGCATGATCGGTACTTTTTCACCTCGAGCTCAAGCCAGTTGTGGGTCACTGCTTCAGAGGAGCTGTGACCTTCTCAAGGGATGGGGCTGTTGAGAACGCCCTTCTTGGGGCTCATTGTGGGCCTCTGCGTTTTTTGTCGCGCTGAGGAGGCACTTCCTTGGACCCTCTCTTTCTGTCGTTATCTTCGGGCTTTCTTGGGGTGCCTCTTGGGGCCCTCCTGTGCTTCGTTCTGGAGCCTGCTTGGAGCTCTTTCGGGGCCACGCTTGGGCCCCCCTTAGCCTCTCTCGGAGAACTCATTGGATGTTCTTGGGTGCCCTTTGACCCTGTCTTGGGCTCCCCTTGGGGTCCTCTTGGGCTCTTCCCAGGGCGGCTCGTCCCTGGGATCTCTGAGTTCCGTGACGCCTCGGACTCTCTCGGTCTTTTGTCTTATCGTGCATTGTATTGCATTGCATTCCATTGGGCTACTTTCCGTTGCATGTGCAATTGCATTGTTTCGTGATCCACATTGCACTTATGAGCATCGCTTTCCTTTGCTTTGCATTGCATTCATAGCCTTGCATGTGTTTGGCTAAACTGGCTTGCATAGCTTCGAATTGAATACTGGAGAGGCCTTACTGCCGGTGCCGCCGACCCTGAACGACGACGGCGGCGACGACGACGACGACGACGACGACGACCAAGGGGGGTCGCTCCCCCCTGTGGAGGGGGGGACTGGCCCGTGGGGGGGGGACTCCCTCCTGTGGACAGGGGGAGCATGGGACGCTTGGAAGGGGGGGCAAAGCGGGGACGCTGGGGGGAAGGGAGGAGAGGCTCTCTCCCCCCGGTTCTTGAGGGGGTCCCGGGGACCCTCCGCCACATTTTCGGGATCGGCAAAACAATAACAGGAGCCCCACGGGCCCCAGGGCACCCCCTGGGACCACCCCCCAGGACCACCCCCCGAGACCACCCGCCGGGACCACCCCCCGGGAGTTGCCCCGGGACAACCCCCCCGCTGGGGAAGGGATCAAGGGAAGGTGCTTCCCTTCGTTGTTCGATTCGATTTCGTATTGGCTGGATCGGTTGAGGAAGAGGGCCCGGGGAAAGGGGGAAGATGGCGAGGGCGACGACGACGACAACGACGACGGCGACGGCGACGACGACACCGACGACGACAAACGGAAGAGTGCCTCACACACGCCGACAGGGTCGGCGGATTCAGGAGCATATGTCATTGTCGGTGCTTGGGTTCTGTTCGGCCAGCATTATGGATGCTTCTTGTACCTCATGCTTACACCATCAATGGTAATCACTTCAGTGGATACGGGACCTCCTCAAGGGATGGCGTCGACTAGAACCTAAGCGCGCGCGAAGCGCGCGCGTGGTTCTAGCATTCATTTATATATATATATATATATATATATATATATATGTATTTATGTATGTATGTATGTATGTATGTATGGATGGATGGATGGATGGATGGATGGATGGATGGATGGATGGATGGATGGATGGATGGATGGATGCATGCATGCATGCATGCATGCATGCATGCATGCATGCATGCATGCATGCATGCATGCATGCATACCATCTGGCGGCTGCTGCTGTTTGACAACCCGTGCGACGTATCCGCTTCTCGAGTGAGCATGCCGAGAGTGAGGGAGGCAGCGAGAGTTACGGTGCCAGACTTCCCTTATTTTGGATGCCAGCACCGTCGGAGGCAGTTTCAAGGTCCACGGCGCACTTCCCGCACTGCCCAGACCAAATTCCTTGGGGACTGGGGGGGGGGAGCCTGGAACGCCGCACCGGCGGGGAGCCTCCCCCGCACCTTCACAGCGCCGCCGTGGTGGCGCAGCCCCAGACATCTGGCATTTCGAAAAACACAAGACTGGTACTCCAGATTTCGTAATAAAAGGGAGGGGGTCTGGACCCTCCAAGACAAGCCATTTCAGACCTCCCCCGTGGGAGAACCCTCCAAAACATCGTCCCCAGACCCCCCAGGCCCTCCAAGATAGCCTGGAAGAGACCCGCCCCCGAAATGAGACCCCCCTCCCTTTATTACGAAATCTGGAGTACGTGCTCATCGTTTTCGGCCTCTCGATTCCCCCATTGGGCCTCGGGCCATTCAAAAAGTGATCATTCGGAATGGTTGGCAGCTGGTCTGGGGAAGGTCGGGTCGAGAGGTCAGAGGCCCGTGTCTCAACAAAAATGGAGACGATGGACGTCTGCCAGGAGGAAAAGAAACACACAGACAGAAAATATGGGAAAATATGGGAAGTGGCGGGGAAGAAAGAAACCAAGAAAATATTGGAAAATATGGGGAATATTTTTATTTGTGTGTATTTATTTGTGTGTCCTGGGGCCCCTTCAGTCTGGGTCCACAGCGGCCTCCTCGCGTCGCTGTCAAAAAACGGGTGCGGCGAGAGGCTCCCGATCGGCTGCGTTCGGGATCCCCGGGCCCCCTCTTCGGGCTCCCGCGGGGGGGCGTGCGCTCGCTCTCGATCGGAGAGAGAACAACCACTGCGGCCGGTCTCTTGCCTGTTCTCGGAGGCCGGGAGCCTTGAGACGGGAGTCATTGCAAACGGGGGTCAGCCACGGCCCCGGATCCTGCAGGATCCTGCGAAGACCCCCTCTGGCTGGCCCGGGTTGGCGAGCCGCTCGTGGCCGCGAGGCGGCCGCACATATTGGCTGACCCGGGTATGCGACGGCCCGCGTTGCAGTTCTTTTTTTCCTGCATTGCAGTTTTTGGTTTCCTGCTGACCCGGGTCTGGATTGACCCGGGTCAGAAGATCCCCGAGGAGGCCCTGGGGCGGTTCTCGCACTCGAGGGACCGTCGGCCAAACGGCGACGAGAGGCCGGCCATGGGGAAGGGGTCCGGGCCGCCAGAGGCCCCGCAGGGGCAGAGAAGTCCTCGTGTCGGACGTCTGGGGCTGCTGCGCCCTCCCGCTGCGGGTGGCGTCCCTGTCGGGTGCCAGCCCTCATTCAGGAGAGGAAAAAGCACAAACACTATGAATCGTCGATTCCCCCGAAGATATGGGAAACTATGGGCAGTAGGGGGAAGACAGACACCCAGAACATATGGGACAATGTGGGGAATCCTGTTCTTTGTGTGTATTTATCTGCGTGTCTCGCCTCCCTCCAAGGCCGTGCCTCTTGGGTTTTTTTTTGATCTCCGCGTGGTTCTTTGTGCACCGCTGGTCGCCCTGTGGCTGTGCGCATCGCTATCGTCTCTCCTCCTCCAAGGCCTCCCCAGCCCGCCCTGGTCTCCCCTCCTCCCCGCTGTCCGAAGGCATCGCTCCTCACCTCGAGGCCCTCGTCGGCACGGGTGGGGGGGGGCAGTGGGGGCACCTTGCAGCAGTACAGCGCCCCTTCTCGGAGGATGACCATCTGTGCCTACCAGAGCCTCTACGAGTCGTCCATCGCCTTCGGCATGCGAAAGGCGCTCCAGGCGGAGCAGCGTCGCAACCAGCACACCAAGAAGACGAAGGCTCGCCCATCCCTGCGTGATCGGGCGCGTAGTACTCGCAAGTGCACCTCGCACGCGCAGTTGGACGACACCGCCAGGTACCCGCGGACATCCAGCGTCCTGTCCTTTTTTTCCATGCGGGATTCCCCAGAAGTCCCAGCCCTTTCCCCAGGGCCCTTTTTCGATCCCAGGTAGTTTCTGATCGCCCTGGATGGTGCGCCCGCATTCCGCAGAAAACGGAGAACAGCACCCGTATTGCCTGATGTGTCAAAAGGGTCAGTCTAGGCATGGCCTCACACGGTCGAACTGATCGATCGACTCGACTTGTCGATCGGATTGTGCGACTGGCTCGATCGATCCGCGCGATCAATGCATATGGATTTGTTGGCCCGTGCCGACTCGAAACCGATCCGCCCGGGCCTCTTTCAGAAGTGAGCTCTGTGAAGGTCACAACTCAGGAGGAAAAGAAACACACCGACACAAGTAATCGTCGATCCCCCAGGAAATATGGGAAAATATTGGAAGTGGGGGGGAAGACAGAAACCCAGAGAATATGGGAAAATATGGTGAATATTTTTATTTGTGTGTATTTGTTTGTGTGTGTCCTGGGGCCCCTTCACCAACCGCATGCAAGTGCGAGCATCGCAAGATATGCCCCTCTCGTCAGAAGCCGCGCGCCGCGAGAGCGGCGGAGCACGGGGCAACGCGGGCCGGAGCCCCGAAACGTGCGGGGGGGGGCCGAAATGCGCATGGGGCGCCATGTTGGCGCTACCACCAGGGCCTTCGTCGCCCGAGACCACTGCCACTGGGGCCTCCGGTGGAGCTCCCTATGGGGGCCACGATCCTCCTGAGGGGTGTGCCGAGATGGCCCGGGGCCGCCATGCGACCACTGCCACTGGGGCCTCCGGTGGAGCTCCCTATGGGGCCACGAACCTCCTGAGGGGTGTGCCGAGATGGCCCGGGGCCGCCATGCGAACCCTGCCACTGGGCTTTCGGTGGAGGGAGCTCCCTATTGGGCCACGATCCTCGTGAGAGGTGTGCCGAGATGGCCCTGGGCCGCTGGCCACGGGGGCCTTCGGTGGAGCTCCCCATAGGGCCACGAACCTCCTGAGGGATGTGCCGACATGATTGACACGCAGAGCGCAAAGGGAGGGGTGGGAGGGGGGGGAGGAGGAGGAGAGGAGGACGAACGCGGGGCGCTGTCTCTTCAAAACGAGGAACCATCACCACAGGGTTGTTGGTTGGGAAAAGAGAGAGAGAGAGCAAGAGAGAGAGAGAGCAAGAGAGAGAGAGAGAGCAAGAGAGAGCGAGACATATATATATATATATATATGCATTAATTATGATATGTATCTATCTATACGTACATAAATGTCTAGAGTGGGAGATGCATATATACATATGTATACACACTTAATGCTTGCAGCAGAATTTGAAGGCTCGCTACCGCTTCGCCTTGCATCTTGGCCTTCAATTGGCTGGCGCCATTCTCCCACAACCCGTTCCATTGTGCGTTCCAGTCCCCTTCCTCCGCGATCTTTCGCTCAAATTCTCCCTCCGGTCCTGAGCCTTCCTCCTTTCCTGGCCTCCGGGGGCCTCCTTGGGAGATGTGGGAGGGGCACGAAACCACGTAAACAAGTTGGTATTATAATATGTTGCGCGCCCTGGCGGGGCTTCTGTGGAAGGACGGGAAAGACACGAAACCTTGTAAATTGTGCGGTGTCCGAGTACCTTACCCTACCTTGCGGGGTCTCCTTGGAGTTTGGAGGCCTCTTCGGGGCCGTTTTCAGGCCTCATGGGGGCCTCGTGGGGGGCTCTTGGGGGCCTCTAGGGGCCTCGTAGGGGCCTCCCTGGGGTCTCTCTGGGCCTCCTGGGGGCCTCTTTGGGCGAAGGTCCCGAAGAGTCCGCTTGGGTACCCCTTCTGAGGCCCTCTGGGAGCCGTCTTGGTGGCCTCTTCGGCCGTCTTAGAGGCCTCTTGGGCCGTCCTTGGGCCGTCTTTGGACCCTCTGGGACCGTCTTTGGGCCGGCTCGGGAGCCTGTGGGGCCGTCTTGGGGCGATCTTGGGGGCCCTCTTGGGCCGTCGTGGGGCGATCTTGCGGGCCTCTTGGGCGGTCTTAGAGCGTCGGGAACCGGAAAGAACAGAACCCCAGAAACTTTGAAAAAACCTTGGAGAAAGTAATGAATGTACGTAGCCTCTTGGGGGCCCTTTGAAAGGCCTCTTGGATTCGTCTTGGGCCTCTTGGAGGCCTCGTGGGCCGCCTTGGAGCCATGTCAGAGCGTTTGAAGGATGTCTCTGTCCTTTGTGGAGCCAACTGAGGCCGTCAGGGAGCGCTCCGGGGCCGTCTTGGAGCCGCCCGAAAATGCTAGGGGGTTCTCTGCAGGGGCGTCCAGGGGAGTCCCAGGGGCCACGGATCCATGGGGTCCAGAGGGGGGCGGCGTGATGCCCCCACCCCCCGGTTTTGGTGTGGTGCTTCCAAGTGTAATTTTATTTGATGCAGGAAGAAGAGAGAGAGAGAGAGAGAGAGAGAGAGAGGATGGGGTGGGGGGCGAAGTCGGCGTGTGCCATTTTCGGAGGGCCTCGCGGAGTTCTTGGGTCGGCGCTGGACCCCCTGACGGCGCCGCGTGCTGGGAGGCCCCAGGGCCACTCCCAGAGGGCACCTGCCTCTTGGCATCGCTCGGACGTGTGCGTTTTTCCCTCGGCGAGGACCATCGAGGAACATCCTTGATCATTTGGCCGAAAAACCACGCACGAAACCGAAAAAAGCACATGGAATGGACGTCCGAGCGATGGCGAGGCCTTCTGGGAGCCCCCCCTCCTGGGCTGGCCGCCCTCCTCGCGCTGCCCCCGCGCGCGCGGCGCCAGGCCCTGCCACTGCCAGCTGCCGGTCCCTCCCCTCCGCCCGTCCTCGATCCACCTCTCGGAAGGGATGCCCAGACCCCCCCTCGAGCAATGAAGAAACACGACGCGAGGTGTTCGTCAATGTTTGGCCTCTGAGGGCCCTCACCGGGCCTCGGGACCGTCAACGAATGATTCAGGATGAAAAGCGGGTCCCGAGGAATGGGTCTAGGCTTCTGGGGGGTCGATGCAAAGAAGAAATCACAACGTCGGGGATCTGGGTGGGTGCATCGATCGATTCGCCTCCTCGGCCTGCGCCCTCGATCCATCCCTCCGCCCTCCTCTCGATCTTCCTCGAGCATCGGCGGAACGCGCGGGGCGTGCTGGTCCATCAGCGTGTCGTGCAAAATCCTTGCACGTTCTCAGTAGTGACGCGCCGATGGGCCCGTCCAGCGGGCGTGACGTTGATGCTGCGTTTGCCCTCCGATCCGTCCCCCCGGCACGCGCCTGTCGTCACCGGCGCCCACCTTTGCCCCGCCAAGGACCTGACGCAGGCCAACAAGAAGCTTAAGGACGCCCTTCCCGCTGCCCACCCCAGGAAGAAGTAGGATGGAAGGTAGCAACAGCAGAATGAGGAGGACGGGTGGAGGAGGATTGGTGGAGGAGGATGGTGCGGATGAGCAGTGGTTGGAAGTGGGAGAGAAGAGGATGAATGAGGAGGAGGAGGAGGAGGAGGAGGAGGAGGAGGAGGAAAATGAAGAACATAATGAGGAGGAACGGGGAAAGGGTGAAGAGCAAGATGTGGAGGAGGCGAGAGGAGGAGGGGGAGGGCGAGGAGGAGGAGGAGGCAGGGGGAGCACGGCAGGGATGCAAGGGGGATGTCCAGCAGCAGCACCACCATGACGGGTGGATGGATGAGAGGGGAGGATGGGGGGGGGAAGGCGGGGAGGGAGCAGCAGGAAGGGGAGGAGGGCTGGGTGGAGGGGACGCCGGCCTGGACATGACCGTCGCGCCCACGTCGACTGAAGCTCTCTGGCGGAGAAGCCGGCCGGGAGGAGCCACGGGGCGCAGTCCCTGGGCCCCCCCCAGTCAGAGGGTCGCTCGCGGGAGATCCGGGGGGGGGGCCGGGCGCCGCCGGGGGCGTCAGGGGGGCGGTCCCCCCACGGCGCGCGAGGGGGAGGCTCTTCGCGTGAGGGCTGTGCGGGCGTGTGTGTGTGTGTGTGTGTGTGTGTGTGTGTGGGTGGGGGGGGATGGAATAGGAGGCGGGATGGTGTGTGTGAGTGTGTTAGTGTGTGCGTTTGTGTTTGTGTGTTTGTGTGTGTGCGCGTGTCTCCCTCTCTCTCTCTCTTTCTCTCTTCCTTCTCTGTCCAGCGAGCGCTAGAGGGGGGGATTGCCGTAGCTACGAGCTGCACGAGCTGAGCCACCAGCCTCCCTCCCCTCAGCCATCTCCCCCCCTCCTGGGAAGGGAGGGGGGGCACCGACAAGGGGGGGAGTGGGGGGACTGGTCCAGGGGGGGAGGGGGGAAACGACCCCCGATCGCCAATTCATCGCCCATCAGGCCATGTGGGCTCGGTCCTCCGCGAACGTGCGAATTCGCTATCGAGGGCCTACCGCCGATCCACCGGATACATGTGTCGCCGATTCTGCGTTAACGCTCCCCCCCTTGGGCCAGTCGATCCTCTCGCTTCCCCCTCGGCGAGGGAGAGAGGGAGGGAGGCAGGGAGGGAGGGAGGGAGGGAGGGAATGAGAGAGGGAGGGGGGCACGCGAGCCCGCCTTCCTTCTTCGGGCCGGGCGGCGGGCGAAGGCGCCAGGCTCGGGGCCGGGCCGCGGGCAGGGTGCCGATGAGGAGGGGGGGAGGAGGAGGAGGAGGAGGAGGAGGAGGAGGAGAGGAGGAGGAGGAGGAGGAGGAGGAGGAGGAGGAGGAGGCCTGGAGGAGGAGGAGGAGGAGGAGGAGGAGGCCTGGAGGAGGAGGAGGAGGAGGAGGAGGAGGCCTGGAAGACAGAGAGTGGGGAGGCGGAGGCCGAGGAGGCGCAGGTGGCAGCGGAAACGTCATTCAGAGGGAATTTCGGTGTCCTTTCGCTTGGGGTTGGTGGCCCTGCCGCTCTTGCGGCCGGGCCTCAGCCACCGCTCAGCTGCCCCTGTGGCTGGGCTGCTGCCCGCCCCGCCCGGCAGTGATGCGTGCGCCGGCCGGCCCGGCGCTTTTCGTCCCTCTCCTTTTCTTTCGCCGCTTTCCTGCTCCCCTGCTTCCCGCGCCGCCATGGGCCATGGCGCCGCCTGCACCGCTGCCGCCGCGCGCTCCCAGCCGGGCGCTCTCGGCCTCTGCTGGTACCGCCTCGGTAGTCGTCAGCATTCTTGTGGCCCGTAACAGGCAGCATTTGTTGCAGCCCACGCGCTTCGGCGAAGCCCCATGCGGATTTCGTGCTTACGCCTGGACCTTCGTGGTCCTGCATCCATCTGGCGCTGGCCCTCTGCAGCAAAGCCTGACGTTCCACGGCAACGTGACGGACAACCTGATGCTCCAGCCCCTGCAGCCCCGTGCGCCCTCTTCCTGGTGAACTGGTTCACTTTGCTATTCACGCTTCCAGCGCCTGTTGCCGTGGCTTCGGTCGCTTGGTGTGGCCGTGATGCCGTCTCGCGTCCATTGTCATGGCATTTCAGCCCCAGCCGGCCGCTCCGGCACGCTCACCCTGCGACGCTTTCAGCCGTGAGTGCCCTCCTCCTGTCCTCTGCGGCCGCTCATACTCCCCGCGCCCTCTCGTGCAGCCCGACAATTCGTGTGTCTCGTGTCCCCGACATGTCGAGCGCCCTGCTGCGATCTAGAAACGTCAAACTGTTTGGGCTTGGTGTTGGCCGTGTCCGAGCGGTCCCCAAGACGGGCCAAGAGGCCACCAAAACGTCCCAAGGGGACCCCGCGACAACCGCAAGGAGGTCCCAAGGGGCTTCCCAAACGGAAAGACTACCGACCATCCTGACGAATTCATCCGAGACGAGCTTCTCCAGACGAGTTTCGTCCAGACATGTTCTTCCGTACGAGCTCATCCGAGCACGAGTTCTTTTGATCTTGAGTTGGTGTAGAGACGATCTCATCCCCAAACAAAGCCATCCGGACGAGTTTGTCCGGACAGCTCCATCCGGACGGATTCGTCCGAATGCGTTTGTCGCGATAGCAATCGTTCAGGTTGAATTGTTCGCCCTGCCCCCGAACGGCCTCCGAAGGGGCCAGGCCTGCACAGACGGCGCAAAAAACGTCCTTAGATGACCCAGGACGCCCCCCAAACGCCCCAACGAGGCCCCCAGGAGGCCTCTCAGAGGCATCCCAAAAAACCTTCAAGAGGCTGCCAAAAACCGCACGACCCCCCCAAGGAACTTTAAAAAAGAACCCAAATGCCCTCAGGAGGCCCCGCAAGGATTGGCACGCGCGTGCTCTCGACGTGCACCCCCTCGAAGCGAAAGGAATCCACCTGTTTTTGGGCTCGTGCAGACCCCCCCCCCGCCACTTGCCCAGACCACTGGGGGAGCGTGCTCTTCTTCTGTCGCACGCTCGCCTTCGCTCTTCTGCCCTCCCCCCCCTTGTCCCTGCCAGGAGGAGGTCGAGGACCTGGAGACCAAGATAGAGATGATCGAGAAGCAGGAGGCCGAGCGGCGCGAGCAGGAGGAGAAGAAGCACAAGGAGGAGGCGCGGCCGCCCCGGCCCCTGCGCCGCCCGCTCCTGCCCCGCCCCCTTCCGAGGGGGAGCAGGAAGGCTGAGCATTGGGGGCTCAGGACTGAGGACTGGAGAGGAGGACTGGGGATTGAGGAGGAGGAGGAGGAGGAGGAGGAGGAGGAGGAAGAAGAAGAAAAAGAGGAGGAGGAGGAGGAGGAGGAGGAGAAGGAGGTGGAGGAAGATGCCGTCGACGAGGATGCGGTCTGAGGACGAGGAGGAGGGGGAGGAGGACGAGGAGGAAGAAGAGGACCACCCCTGCCCCTCACCCGTGGCGTCCATGGTGCGGGGCCTGCGGCCTGCGCCCCCGCGAGTTCTCTGAGGGGCCTCGCGGGGGCCGAGTGCCTGTCGCCTTGTCGGGCATGGGCCTTCCGCCGTCGGCAGGGGGGGAGTCGTGGACGGAGGCAGGGGAAGGGAAGGAGGAGGGGATGGGGGCGGAAGGGAGGAGGGCGTTCGCCCCTCCAGAGGCCTCCCCTCTCGCTTCAGCACGCTTCATGCATCATCTGCAACGTGCGTGTGCGCCTTTTCTGGTGTCCCGCCGTCGGCGCTTCCCCACTCGGACCCCAGGTCACGACCTCCAGCGATCCCTGTGTATACCTGTGCTGCCCGGCCATGCCAGGCTGCGGGCGTCCGAGGTGTGCGTCGGGGCAACGCGCACGTCGGTTGCGGGCTTCGCCCAGCAGACATGCGCACTTCAGATCCCGACGCTGGCCCAGGTTTCGGGGGGGGGGACGATTCGTCGGCCGCGGCCGAGCCGAAAAAGTCCATGGCAGCTGGGATGTCTGGGCCCCCGTCAAGGCAGACGACCGAAGGAATGCGTGCCGGTGAGTTCTTTCATCCTTCATCTTTATCTTGCTCCTCCTACTCCAACTCCTCCTCCTCCTCCTCCTCCTCCTTCTCCTCCTCCTCCTCCTCCTCCTCCTCCTCCTCCTCCTCCCTCTCCTCCTCCTCCTCCTCCTCCTCCTCTCCTCCTCCTCCTCCTCCTCTCTCCTCCTCCTCCTCCTCCTCCTCCTCCTCCTCCTCCTCCTCCTCCTCCTCCTCCCTCTCCTCCTCCTGCTCCTCCTCCTCCTCCTGCTCCTCCTGCTCCTCCTCCTCTCTTTCTCCTTCTCCGGGTGTGCGCATGGCGCACGCCCGAAGAGCACCTGCGCCATCTTCCGCATCTTGTCATGGAGGATAGAAGAACAGCTAGCCATTGTGAAGACGTGGCCTCACTGAGGCCCCTGCCGCTACATTAGGGATAATAGTTCTGGGCGGTTTGGTTCGTTCTAATTCCTCCGCAGAAGAGACCCCATATCCCTAATGTTGTTGGCCCTCCTAACTTGGGTCCCCTCACACAGGGTTGGGGGTCCTTTCCTTGCTGATCATGCCGGGCCGTCCCACAGGGGGGTGCGCAAAGAGGGTCTACGAACACTGGTGCAAGTGAAGCAATTAAGGAACCCCCCGGCGTTATCATTAGCACCGCGCCGTAATTAAATAATTATTTGGGGGGGGGTTCGCCGAGCGATATTATTAGCACCGCGCAAATGGAAGGAAAATAGATAATTCCAGCGCCCCGCCTCGGGTGGCATCCCAATTAGAATTGTAATGAGAATAAGAATACGAATGCCAACCGTGGGAAGCGATTAAGAAGCCCCTCCCCTGCGACACCCGTGGGACCTGTGGGACCTCACACTGGAACCACTTTGAAACTTGTGGGACCTGCGAGACCTGCGGGACTCCGTGGGACCCGTGCGATCTGGTGTACCCCCTCCTGGTGCCAGGATAACGCTTCCGGGTGCCGGGTGCGTTATCCTTTCACCGGAGAGGGGGGGGGGGGTCCTTAATCGCTTAAGCTGGTTCGGGGCTCTTCTTCCCCTGGGCACTTCCCCCGATGCGTGGTCGCAGCCCGGCGCCTCTAGGCGCCCGAACAATAAAACGCCAAGCTCCAGCTGGCACTGTCACCCCGAGTTCAAATAACTAGCCTCTTCTGCTGTCAGCGGCGCGGACAAGCGGGTGTGGCGAGGGAGGCTGCGCTTCAAAGATGGCGGAGTGCATCGTGGAAGGCAGGGGCTTTCTCACATGGGCGTGGGCCCTCCTGAGGAATCTTCTCAGCCTCGGGACCCCTCTAAGAAGGCCGCTGCCCTTAGGAAGCGCCCAGCCTTGTTAGAAGGCGGCCCCCCTCGCGCTGGCCCCTTGTGCGCGTGATTGTTTCCTCTGTCCGTCCACCCCGATCCTCGACATCGTGTTTTTCTCCTCCTCCACCCTCCATGCCCCCAAGGCGGATCTGCTGAAGAAGATGAACGCACAACGCAAGGAGCAGCTCGAGGCGATGCTCCAGGCCCCCAAGAAGTGAGGCACCGACGCGGCTACATCTCGTGCATGGCAGTCCTGAGCTTCATACGCCTTCCTCCGCATCCTGCTCGTGACTGTTTCTGCGTTCTCCCATGCGTGTGTAACCTCCATTTTCTCCCCCCGCAACGGTAACGCCCGAAAACCGTTCACAGGCATTCGTTGGTGCTCAAGGACACATTGTGGCGCTCACGGGTACTCGCGTTGCCGGTAGCGTCCTGCATGCTGGCGTGCGCACGCGTTACGGTCGCAGGCTAGTGTGAAAATGCCAGGTTCTGGCACCGCACGTTGTGTGACGAGTGTCTTCTTCGCAGGCAGGCGTCACGAGATACTGCACGGGTCAGGCATTGTGCGGTGCTACCACGCCACAACAGCAGTTGCCGTCACCCCCCGCCGTTCACACCCCTCCCTGACTCCGGATCCGCCCTAGTTTGGCTTTTTTTCCAACTTAAAATTGCGTCGGAAATCCACCTATAAGATGCCGAAAAAGTAGGGCGGAAATTGCTGCACCCAACATAAAATAGGGCGGAAATCCACAGAAACAGCAACAGAAAAGTAGGGCGGATCCGGAGTCAGGGCTCCTCTAGGCTGGAACCGGCCGACAGTGAACGATCCCGCTCTTCAGAAGGCCGCGATCTTCTAAGGTCGAACGGTCCGCGTGGTGTCTCAGACCGACGCCGAAGTCGGCACGATGCTGACCTGCCGCGCAGAGCCTCCGCCACGCTGCCCTGCTCGCCGCGTCCGCGGCTGGGAGTCGGCGCTCGAGCAGAAGGAGTAGCAGCGGCAGGCAGGAGAAGGAGACGAAGCAGAGTTAGCCTGAGGCGGAGCAGAGGTCGAACAATAAAAAGGGCACGGACATGCGATCGTTTTGTCATTTATTTATTTTTCCGATTGGCGCGGGCCCTCGCACCCGCTCCCCCCCTCCCATGGAGTAGATCTTGCCTGTGTTGAGCGCCTGCCAGAAGCAGGTGGAGTCTCCCCCATAGGACGCTCTGTGGCAACCAGTCGCACTGAGCAGAGGTCGGGAGCCAGACCCCCCCCTCCCCCCCCCGCTCCCGCCCACTGCCGAAACTCCGAATATCACCAGCCTCGAACCCATCCCTATCCCTAACATTGACACGCTAAAAGGAAATGACAATCTTAGGGATACACCCTCAGAAACTGAGGAAATCCCTAAGATCGCCATCGTGATGAGGCGGTGCCCAACATAGGGATAGGGATATGTTCCAGGCTGGTAAGACTAAGAAAACGTTCACCATGATTCGTCGGAGCTCCGCATGGATCTTTTCGACCGGCGCAGTGGTGCCCCCCCTCCCTCCGACGGCGCCCGCGGCGCCGCCTCCGGCGCGCTGCGCGCGCCATGGGTGGGGGCCCTGAGAAATCGTGCTCACGCCGTCTGTTGTTCCTCTGAGAGAACGGGCGTGAGACTGATGACGAGGTGAAGGGACGAGGAGGGAGGGTTCCTTCCAGCATCGTTGATGAATCGTGGGTCTACACTGGTCCCTCCTCCTCCTCCTCCTCCTCCTCCTCCTCCTCCTCCTCCTCCTTCACCCTCCTCCTGAAAAAGGAAGTCCGCGCGGAGCGACAACATTTTATGATTCTGGCGTTTTTTCCCCCTCTACAGAAAAGGATGGTGGAAGAAGGGTCAGGTCTCAATTTCCGAACCAGTCCTGTTCACTCCCGGACTCCGTACCAGTTAGCATGTTGTTTGGAGTCTCGAGTGTTAGGTTTGCATGGCCGACGGTGCAACAAGCTTGCACAGCCCTTCTGACATCTGAAGAAGTAGAAACCCCTTTTTCAGAAAGCTCGCCGGGACTCCTCCGACGATGACCATCGTCCTCCTCCTGCTCCTCTGATTCTGCTGCTGCTCCTCATCTACGCTGGCCCTCATCCTTCTCCTTCTGTGCCTGGGACGGGGGAGGGCCTTCCCTGAGCGATGCCAGCCGACACCCGTCGCAGCAAGACGCTGAGGCTGGGCCGGGAGATGCGCACGGTGAGCTTGTCCTCCCCTTTTCCCCTCCGTCTCTGCCTTCCTTGCCCGTCTTCGTCCTCATCGGTGTCCTCCTTGTCCCTCCTCCTCCTCCCTCTCCTCCTGGTCCTTCTCCGCCTCCTCGCCTGGCCCTCCTCGCCTTCCTCCTCAGACTCTTCCTGGTCATCGTCCTCCTCCGTCTCGTCATCATTGTTCGTGTCCTTCTGCGCCATTAGGCCCTCGTCCTCCTTTTTTGCTTGCCCGCTCCTTCCCGCCCTCGTTCTCCTCGTCGTTCCCCTCCTGCTCGTCGTCCTCGTCGTCCTCGCCTGTTCCTCGTTGTCCTCGTCTTCCTCCTCCTCCTCCTCCTCCTCCTTCTCCTCCTCCTCCTCCTCCTCTTCCTGCTCTCCGTCCTGCTCCCCCTCCTCCTCCTCCTACTCCTACTCCTACTCCTACTCCTACTCCTACTCCTACTCCTACTCCTCCCCTCCTCCTGCTCCTCCTCCTCCCATTCTCCTCCCATTCCTCCAGCTCTTCCTCCTCCTCCTCCTCCTCCTCTTCGTCCTCTTCCTCTTCTTACTCCTCCTCCTCATCCTCCCGCTTCCTCTATCTCCCTCTCATGTTCCTCCCCCTTCTGCTTTCCCACCTCCGCCTGTGGGGGGACAACGATCCCTACCACGACGATCGACGACGGCGGACGTCGACCGACAGCCGCTGACGACCACCGACGAACAGCGCGGCGACAACCGACGACGAACGACCGCCAGCGACCATGTCGACGATCGACCCTCGGGGAAAGTGGGATAGATACACGTGGAATGAGGGAATATGCATCGTTTCAGAACCTTGGGGGGCCAGGGTGGTTGTTGAGGGGAGGCCCTTTCGGGCCCCGTTCGGTCCACTCTCCTGCGCCGTGGTGGCCCCCACGTGTGCTGCCCGAGACAGCGAGGGACACCTCCCTCGCCCCTCCCCCGAAAGGTCCGTGCATGGCCTCTGGGGGCCCTCTCCAGGCCTCGGGACCATCAAAAACGATTCAGGACGAACAACCGGTCCCAGGAAATAGGTCGAAATCTCTGGGGATCGACGTCATAAAGAAATCATGACGTTGGGGGTCCGGGTCAAGAGCCCCCCCCTGTCCGACTCCTCTAATCAGTGTCGGTCGTTACCACGCCTGCTGTGGCTGTAGCTCCGTATAACATGCAGTCTCAGACACCAAAGGTTTTGTTCTTGTTGTTCGGTACTACGTCCCTGGACGTCCCGATCGCTTGCCCAGGGTCAGCTTTTCATCGTCGTGTCTGACGGCCTCGGAACTCGAAATCTGGCTCCCAGATGCTGGACATTTCTCTACACACACAGGCGCACACATCTAGTTTTCAAGGTTGCTCAAAACGCTGAACGTCTGGGCCTCCTTCACGCTACGACAACGACGATGTCGACGCTGACGACGACGACGACGACGACGACGACGACGACGACGACGACGACGACGACGACGACGACGACGACGACGACGACGGCGACGGCGACGACGACGACGACGATGACGGCGGCAGCGGCGACGACAATGATGGTGGCGGCGGTGACGACGACGACGACGACGACGACGACGACGACGACGACGACGACGACGACGACGACGGCGACAACGACGACCATGGCGGCGGCGGCGACGACGACGTCGTCGATGATGACGATGTCGACGACGAGGGACAGCTCACCGAGTGCACGTCGCGGCCCTGCCGACGTGCCGGGCACCGGCACCGGCGCCCTTTCGCGCCGGGGATCCGGGCGGGGCCTGGGCGTTTTCCGTCGGGGGCGGAAAAGAGGGGGGTGATGACTAGGGGGTGGTGGATATCATGGCGGGGGTCATGATATTTCCCCAGATTTCATGGCGCCTCTTCTTATTTCATTACGTCCCTGGCCCCCCCGCTGGGCCGCGCACATGCCGCCGGTCATGATTTGCACCCCCCCCCTCTTGGACACCCCCCTCTTGGCCGATCCCGATTCCGCGGCGAGCGCTGCACGCGGCGTCCTCGGGCGAGGCCAGCGCTCGTCGAGCTTCGACGAGCGCGTTCCACTATATACCCGCAAAGAGCTGTTTTTTCTTTCGATTCAGGTAAGTTTACTTGCATGGCGTTCGCCCCCACCCCCCCTCGCCCCTCGTCAATCGAACTCGAGCGTGCAAGTGCCATTCGACTTGCGCGACTTCAGTACGGCAAGTCGCTTGCGGCGTGTTTCAAGTTCAGGCCCCCCCCCGTCCATGCAAGTAAACTTGCCGAAGTCAAAAAGAAAAACAGGCTCAAAGTGCCGACACGCAAGCGTCCGAAAAAGACCAGGTCGTCCCCTACGTAACGTATCGTAGATCCCCCGCGGGGGATCCAGGCCACTTGCGAGTACAGCTCATTTGCGAGCAATCAGCGGAACGCGCTCGCCCATGAGCTGGCTCCCCTGAGGTCCGGGCGCCGCAGTTGTCTGCTCACACCGGGCGTCTTCGCCCGAGTCTCGGGCCCCGTCGGGCGGGCCAGTGGACCAGAAATCGAAAGCGTTCCAGAGCGTTTCGGGGCGCTCGCGAGGCGTTCCAGGGTGCTATGCGGAGCGACCGCGGCGCCCGACACGGCCTCCAGAACCGCCAGATCTGTCAGAGGTCCCCGATTTCACATCCCAGGCCGATGTTGTCCTGGTCCTGGCTGCGTCTTCTCCCGGGGCCCTCGTGGATTGATCCGGCTCGGGCAACGCCTCAGGAAGGTGTCCAGGGTTCTTGGTGGTGATTTATTCCGATGCTGCCATGCTATTCGTCGGCGGCGGATCTCAGGGGGCGGCGACGAGGGGAACGACGACGACGACGATCGACGACGCCGAGCGGCTCACCGCGAGAGGAGCCCGAGGGCAAGGGGTCCCGAGGTCTCGTGCTGGTCTGGGGCTCTGGGAGGGGTCCTCCCGCGCCGGGGGCAGTGGGAGCGTCTGCTCGGGGTGAGACTTGCAAAGCTGGCGTCCTGGGGTAGGGCCCCAGGGTCTAGGGCCCGGTCCTCGACGACGACGACGACGACGACGACGACGACGACGACGACGACGACGACGACATCCTTGCGAGGGCAGGGGAGCGAAGGGGAGAGATGAGGATGGGATGGGGGAGGACGACGGGGAGGACGACGAGGGGGGA